GTGAGCAAAAACCATATGATGAGCATTGCCTGATGGTAACCGAAGTACAGGTCCTGCGCCGGGAATAACCACAACAATCTCTATTAGCTATTGTCTCGCAAACCCTTAACATTACATTAATTTATGAGATCATGTGTTTCGCTCTATTACTATATCTAAAGCCAGCGAACCATTACTTTTATCACATATTGTATATAAAATTACATAAATCACAACAAAAATCATGCAAAAAAAGTTTCTAAAAATAAATATAAGGCACGAATACAATTGAATTGAATAAAAAAGTTAATTAAACAAAAAACATTTCTTTGCAATCATTATTACAATAACAACTTCAAACCACAAAACATCCATAACTTAATTCTCTCCAATGACTGCATATAATAATAAATATTCATATTTTTCCTCATAATTTATAGCTTTAAAGCAAATTAAATGCAAACAAACACTTGCTTTCATGGTTTTTGCATAGTTTTTGGATTCAGTCATAAATATGTGAATAAAGTGTTGGTAAAGAATAACAAATTGTAAATCTTGTTGACACCCATTCGTAAACACATTCAAAAGCAAACAATAATCAATGAGAAGAAAGAGTTGGACTTACTGTGAGCAAAAACCATATGATGAGCATTGCCTGATGGTAACCGAAGTACAGGTCCTGCGCCGGGAATAACCACAACAATCTCTATTAGCTATTGTCTCGCAAACCCTTAACATTACATTAATTTATGACATCATGTGTTTCGCTCTATTACTATATCTAAAGCCAGCGAACCATTACTTTTATCACATATTGTATATAAAATTACATAAATCACAACAAAAATCATGCAACAAAAGTTTCTAAAAATAAATATAAGGCACGAATACAATTGAATTGAATAAAAAAGTTAATTAAACAAAAAAAAACATTTCTTTGCAATCATTATTACAATAACAGATTCAAACCACAAAACATCCATAACTTAATTCTCTCCAATGACTGCATATAATAATAAATATTCATATTTTTGCCCATAATTTATAGCTTTAAAGCAAATTAAATGCAAACAAACACTTGCTTTCATGGTTTTTGCATAGTTTTCGGATTCAGTCATAAATATGTGAATAAAGTGTTGGTAAAGAATAACAAATTGTAAATCTTGTTGACACCCATTCGTAAACACATTCAAAAGCAAACAATAATCAATGAGAAGAAAGAGTTGGACTTACGTTAACGAGAGACTGAAATATAATGGTTAGAGTCCTCCAAACCACGAAGAAAGCCATGGCTCGCAACCAATGTTTGAATTTTATCTCATGCTCTTTGCGTAAAGCGGTCATCAATATTAGCGACGAGACCAACAAATAGACGGCCGAAAAGAAAAGTATTACAGCGATCGCTATCAGTGTCCGCCGGACTATAAACACAAATCAAACGATAGTGAAAAACATGGCTTTTATATAAAATAATGGACAAAAGTGGTGATGAATGAGACATACTGTGAGGGTTTCCACTGTAAACGAATAGAAAACTAATGCCAAAACTTCTGAAATGTGTAGAACCGGGTGAGGCCTCTGCCAAACAGTATGTGTCAAATATTGCCAAACTTATCTGGAATAAGCTCTCTATCTGTTTGTCAATAAAAATACACACATTTTATATCAGTTTTTATTTGTTGTGTGAAAATGAAATTATTCACAACTCGTTTGACAAACAAATCATGCGTTTGTTGTGCCCGTCGAGTGTTTTGCCAATCGCTTAATAACTATAATCATTCACGTTTTTACCCTTGTTCACTTTTCCACTCGCTTTTTACATATTTGAATTAAAATTGTTGTCAAACAATTTTCCCTTGATATAAAAACTTTACAACCCATTTACTCGCATAACTCTCACAATTGATGTGACATTTTAAAAGTCTAAGCAATGTGTACTGTAGTTAACGTGTATAAGCAAACAGTCCTACGGTTTGTTAGCAATTGTCTGAAAATGTGTTCCGTTTGGCCACTCATGAAGTCGTTGTCACAGAAAAAGCAAAAATAAAATAATTTTTTCATTACTCTGTCTATCTTTTTGGGGTTCAAAATAATTATCTCATTCCATAATCTTTGCCTTCATTTCAGAGACTCTCTCTCTCTCTCTCTACCCTTCTATGAGCTATTATTCATTTCTCTTTATTGATGACCGCTTTACGCAAAGAGCATGAGATAAAATTCAAACATTGGTTGCGAGCCATGGCTTTCTTCGTGGTTTGGAGGACTCTAACCATTATATTTCACTCTCTCTCTCTCTCTCTCTCTCTCTCTCTACCCTTCTATGAGCTATTATTCATTTCTCTTTACATCCGATAATCATTTTATAAAAAGCATGAAAAGAGTTACTAAAGAAAAACTTAAAAGCATTTCGTATTTCATTAACTATTAAAATTAATGTCGAGATTAACAGCGAATTCACTGCCAGTGAATGGCATAAAAGGGTTGATTTAAAAACAGCGTTCAGAATATTATGGATAATAAAATTCAATAAAAAAAGTTTAGTCGAGTTATTCCTACTCTTCATTGATTCAATTGTATTGATGTTTGTATTATATTCTCTATTAATAATACATTTCTTTCCGAATCTAATGACACAACAAAACTCCGGTCGTTGTCCTCAAACACTAACAGTCAGTCGTCGATCAATTGTATGCCTTTTTTGCTATTATTTAATAAAATTATTTAATACTATAAAAAAGAGAGAGATTTTATCAACTGTTTTGTGAATACGAGAAAAAATGTATTACAGAAAAAAAAACATAAAAATAATTTTATATTATTTGTTATCGTATACTGTGTTAAGAGTCACGAAAGTTATTGTTTGTGGTATACATTAGACATACAAATCCTCTCTAAACATATCATTTTGTTTCTAATATACAAAATGTTACGTCAGATTAAATCAAATAAAAAGTTTTTTAATTTTGTAAAAAATTGTTATTTCAATAAATGTTTTGAACGCAAAATTGTAAATAAGATCTTAAATTTCCAACACATTTACACCAGAATTTTATATTCAATTTCATAACATATATGACTAAAAAAATTACAGGAAAATGAAATTAAATATCGCTTTCAATGGACTTTTGAGATGAAAATCTAATCGACGAAAAGTCACCAAAAAAAGTCATTAAAATTGCAAATAAAAGATTCACTAAAAAGGCAAAGGGTTTTGACACTAAAAAATCTATGTCTAAACACTACTCCAACAACAGGTATAAACCAAATGAATTAATTTCAATCACACATTCATTTGCTTGTATTACAGACAACGGAGACAATCGCTACTGTCATTAAATGTAAATATCATATCAAACACACGTATAGTAAACACAATTAAATGCCAAATAATAAGCAAAAAATGGTCACAAAAACTCATCAATTGTTTGCAAAGGGAAAAAAGTGAATGAATTGTCGCAACTCTTGGAAACGATTCAATAGTTTGAATTAATGCCACAAATGGGCAGATATGGCAGCGATGGGCAAAAACTCTTGTGATGGTTATGTTTGAGTATTGGATGAGTTGTATTGGCTGTATTGGTGGACAGCTGTAGACTTACCAGTGTATAGATAGCGGCCAAATAACTACCCTTTTGAAGGTCTGTGAAGAGGGCATTGCGAATGACGGGCCGTCTCTCCCACCACTTGAGCTTCACTTTGCGACTCCCGGCCATAGTTCGGGATCGAGTGGTGGCTATGGATGTGGTCGAGTGATGGCTTCGACCACCGTATGAATGGATAGACGACGGCATCGTTGGTCACACCCGAAGGGGGAGGAGACGGGTCTCACTCACAAGAAGATCACTAAAAAGGCAAAGGGTTTTGACACTAAAAAATCTATGTCTAAACACTACTCCAACAACAGGTATAAACCAAATGAATTAATTTCAATCACACATTCATTTGCTTGTATTACAGACAACGGAGACCATCGTTACTGTCATTAAATGTAAATATCATATCAAACACACGATAAACACAATTAAATGCCAAATAATAAGCAAAAAATGGTGACAAAAACTCATCAATTGTTCGCAAAGGGAAAAAAGTGAATGAATTGTCGCAACTCTTGGAAACGATTCAATAGTTTGAATTAATGCCACAAATGGGCAGATATGGCAGCGATGGGCAAAAACTCTTGTGATAGTTATGTTCGAGTATTGGATGAGTTGTATTGGATGTATAGGTGGCCAGACTTACCAGTGTATAGATAGCGGCCAAATAACTACCCTTTTGAAGGTCTGTGAAGAGGGCATTGCGAATGACGGGCCGTCTCTCCCACCACTTGAGCTTCACTTTGCGACTCCCGGCCAGAGTTCGGGATCGAGTGGTGGCTATGGATGTGGTCGAGTGATGGCTTCGACCACCGTATGAATGGATAGACGACGGCATCGTTGGTCACACCCGAAGGGGGAGGAGACGGGTCTCACTCACAAGAAGACACAACAACTTTATTACGGATCAATTGGCATACAAGTGGTCTTCGGGACGGCGCGCGTGAATGAGTGGCAAACTTATGGATCAATTGGGGGCACAACTGGTGGATGTGTTGGGATGGGAGGCAAACGACATGAAGAGTTGGCGACACAAACACTGTATGACAACAATATGTGATGAAAAACACAACAAATGCTCAGAAAAATGGCGTGAATTGTGGGGAACTGTTGGGCGAGGCCTGACATACAGGTATGTGTCACGTGACTACAGGTGTACACACACTGCCAGCACAGGTGCCAACACATTACACACACCTATTATGCTATAGCTTTGGGGGTCCGTCACTGTGTTTGTCTGTTTGTGTGCTGAAAGTGACGGACAGTCTCTCCACTCTCTGTGCGTTACAGACAATACTTTTGGTAAACTTTTTTTTAACGCAAATCTTTTGTTTTAAAAGTAAATCAAAACTTTTTTATGGTTTGATTTTTCAAAATGTGTGCCTTTTTCTCATGTGAGGCACTGATGAGAGCGAATGAGATAACAGTATAGATGTGTTGGTTATATAATGAGAGATTGAAATGTTTGTTCAAAATAAGGTTATCTCTAGAAGTCTGTCAAACATTGCATTTTCATATCACAAAAACACATTTCATAACCCATTAAATGGTATTAACAAAAGTTTCATTAATCACATATTGTTATCATTTTGGGCCTTAAATATCGGCAATGAATGGCCTATCAGTGGCCGAACCCGTGCCCACACGTGAATCCAAGCTGGATGTGGAGAAAGTGGTTTGGGTTGTTGTCCTCTTCTCCACCGTCACCATCCCTTTCCTTATGACACTCATCGGTATGTGATTACGATATCTCCGTGTGATGTTTGACATGTAATTAATGTGTTTGTGTGTTAAGCACTCATTCATATAGACGACTGTCCGCATCAATCCTATATCCCGATTGTGATCCTAATGTCTGGCGTATCGATGAGCTTAAGTAATATCATAAACACTGCCGACAAGTATTCGCCGCCCAAACAGTCCAGTTATAAGCGACGCAAACGTATTGTGGGCGCCCTTAACCTCATCACCAACTGCTTCACTGCCGCCACTTTTATAGCCGGTATTGTATACTCTTGTGGTCAACCCTTTCCCCTGTGTTTGTCTTTGCGACTCATATCTTATTTCTAACGGACAGGCGGTATAGGAGTGTACGGAAAGGGTCAGCCCTCGTATGACAAGTCGAGTCCCGACTACTGTAACCCAACGCTATATAAGTTTGCCTTTTGGTTATTAAATCTGTCGTTTGTTTTCATCGGTTTACTAATAATCACAATATCTATTGGTTTTCTCATTAAATTCGTCAAAAACTCATAATACCTAACATAATAGGCATTGTGTTTGCAATCAAACAATCATAACTTTTGGGGGCAATTAAGGGGCGATTGTTTGCTGGTCTCTGCCGTTGCCGGCGATATAGCACTCACTCTCTGTATCCCCTTATCTGTGCTCTAAAAGGGGTTGTGTTTTGCAAACAATGTCTTTGTGATCGTAAACTTGTTTTTCAATGTCTTTCATATATTTATACCAAACAAATAGTAATGAAAATTAAAATATGCATTGAATTGAAAATTAAAGTCAAAACTATAGAAAATTACTTCACTTTTGCATAAGTTTTGCGGATTTTCCCATTCATTTCACTTTCTCTCACAGAATTCGCAAACTATGTTACCGATTAATATCGTTATAAAGACCCCTAAAATACGTTAGTAATGCTAACACAACGGACACGTCCCTCAAAACAGGCAAAACTCTGTTAGAAATGGTAACGACATATGTGTAGTGTTTGTCATAGAAATGGGTTTAAAACGGATTTCTGGCATAAATGCAGACAAACGTTGGGATAATTCGGTCGGAATTCTTGACATTCCAACTCATGGCACCACAAATACCCCAAAAGCAATGCCCCAAACATTGGGGCGAATGTTATGAACGCTATGCATGGGTTGGTTGACAGCAGCGCTCGTCTGGGGTTATGTCTGTTGTGGCAAAAGCACTGCCAGAGTGGGCGCCAAATCCCCGACCTATGCCTCACCCATTGGCTGAATGCATGACTCATCTATGGCTGTGTGAGTGAGAGCTGTATTGAGTGGTTTTGTGTTGAGAGCAATAGTGTTAACCATTTTATACCATTCAATGCCATCTAATTATACGGTATTATTGTATTGGCGTTCAAATTGTGTTGTGTTTCGGCGCTTATAACCTCTTCGGCGACCCAATCATTGTCACCAATCCATCCAAAAGTGTGTCCAAATCAGCGGTAATTAGTGAACAAAACATCTCATCATTTATTTCGCAAACAATTGAAACCAAAATTTGTATTTTTCTCTCCATTTTCTCTCGCAGTCTGTGTTTTGACGGCTCAACCGATTGTCGGCTCATTGTTGTCATCA